AATTGCTATTATGTGAGTTCTGTCAGTCTGGTAGAACGGACATAGTTCTGGAACAAAGGGTGCCAGAAAATCAGTGGTGAACTTGTATTTAGCAATGACCTTACAAAACATTTTTACAGATAGTAGGATTAGACTAAGGTCTTATTCATTAATCTGTAGTGGATCTACGAAGGTTGCGTGGATATTTAAGATTGTGCTGTAAATAAAATATGCAATATCCACAAACATAAATTATAAGAAATAGCCAAATGGTAACAATATTCAGTTAAGACAAAAATACATGTTTGAAACAACAGATTAAATTTTATATACACAATTTACAATTTCTTTGTTTGTAATAATGTGTGCAAGGTATATTTTTGAGAAAAAGTTCTTTGCTGTTTCGGAAATGTTCAATGTCTAAAAATTCTGCCTTTGACTAAACAGGTTGAATTTAACTTAGACAAAAGATTTTTCTATAAAAGGTATTGAGTGAAAAACGTTTGTGTAAATGTTGTGTAAATTTTTATAATCTCTCATAAAGGAAGTTTGCTTCTTTGGCGGCACATAATTCCGTGTGTATTTTGACTGTTTTGAAGCTTATTTTTTATTTAGCAACCAATGAAATTCAAGAAAATGTTTAAAATTGAAATGAGGGTTACTAAGAATCCATGTAGATATTTACTAAACTAAACCAAATTTGGTAGGGGTACATATTCATAGACTTCTTCTTCACCCCAAGTCCCTGAACTACTCACAATAGCTTGAAAGGTGAACTTGTTAACTAATGCAAGTACCCTGTAGATATTTAGTAAACAGAGATAGTTTGGCAGTGGGATAAAAATTATAAAGCACCCAGTGAGGGTTAAATTCACCACACCAGCAATGGATTATGAGATAAGCTTGTTAATCTTTGCTTTACAGCAGACACTATGAATCAGTCTGCTTATATGGGCAAAAACATACCTATATGATTTTCCTTATAAAAAATCTTAATAATAATTGAAAATTATTATCTGTTGGAAAACATTTTTTTTTTATGATAACAAGAGTAATATTAATTTTATGTGCACAATATAAATAGAAAGGCTGTTCCTTTTCATTCTATGTTTATGGGTGCAAGCATGTATGCATGCGATGATGAAAAAGATCTCATGTCCATACCATGAATAATCAATATTTATTAAGCTTAGCTTAGTCTGGCACAAGGTCACAATAATGAGAATCAAACTTACTCTACAAGCAATAGTCAGGGTGATGATTAACCTGCTAACAATTGTTCTATGGCATTACTTTTTCACTTAAAGAGTTTTAATTAGTTAGTCAAGCAATTGTCACTATAGACAGGATCCGTTTTATTAGCAATGGTCTTGAATGAATTAAGTTGGTTAATTTAATGTGTTAACCTTTGTTGAGCTATTTAAATTCAAATATAAGTCTTATACAACAAAATCACGATGACTTAATAGATAATTAGCCCAGTTTACACTTGAATCAAAAAGGTAGATGCAGATCCAGTTGACACTCTAGTTTCTGGTTCCTTATAAAGTTTTTTCATCCTCTTTCACTTCCAGCAGTGCCTTTGGGTCTTAATGGCATTATCACCTTGCTCAGAGTGAATTGATTTAAAAAAAAGATGAAAGAGCAGTTGGTAAGAGTACTTGTTGATATCAGCACTCAGCAATTGAGTGCTTCTGAGGAATCAGTGCCAAACCATGGTCTTAACTTTGGCACAACCATTAGACATATTCTATACTTAGATATGATAGTTACAGTGGAGGAGATTGCCTTGAAGACACCAAATACCCAGACAGGTGAGCTAAGATAGAAAGTGAGACAAGCACAAGAAAAGGTAAAACTGTCCAAATCAAACATTACAAGTGAAGAAAGTTTAGTAATACAGACCATACAGAGTGACACTGGTATCATCATACTACCAGCTGACAAATGCAATGCTGTGGTGGTGATGGAAAAGTTCAGTTTAAACTCTAGTTAAGAAGGTCAAAAAGGTGGATTCAGATCCAGTTTACACTCAATCTGTTTTCTTTTATTTGCCATGTCCCTTCAGTATATGAGTGGTCATGACTCTCCTCGACTTCCTGTGCTTTATAGCTCTTAGCAATGTTTGCTCTTTTATTATCCTTCTCATGCTCTGATCTAACATCCATTTGCAAAGTTTGTTGTTAAGTTTATACTAGAGTCAAAAAAGTGGACACAGATTCAGCTTAAACTTGAATCAAGGCTACAGTAGTGGGCGATCTGATGACTGAATTGACATTGCTTTATGGTAGACACTCTTTTTCAGCTTATGTATATGTACAAGATTGTAAAGAAAATGAACTTCTTGAAGAACAAACCATATAGTCAAAGATAGGACAAAAATATAAATTCTTCAGATCTAAGACAGATAAGACTTGTTAACCTTATTTCATTAAGAAGGATCAACTAAAAGTCCCCTTCTGTTAAATCTTGTAATAGTAAAATACATTATTTTATCAAGGAGTATTTTTAATAAAATTACTGAAGTGGTCGAACAAGGGAGAACATTTCTGAACCTATCAGATTTTAAGAGATCTCTTAGTTTGGTGTCCTTGAATCCTAATTAAAAAAAAAAAAAGTTTTAACCTGTTCATTGACAAGTAAGTATTTTGTTAACACTGTAACTACTTTGTCAGGTGTTTCTTGTAAAAATTCATGACAAGAGAAAGTCTTTATTGTGTATTTAAAACAACTTTATTTTTGTACTAATCAACCATTATACCCAACAGGAAATCTTGTACTCTATTAGTTCCACTCAAACAACTTCTTCCCACAAGATGACTGACAAGGTACTGCATTTAAGCCTTTTATTTAATTTTTCACGTGTGCATATAATTTTTTTTCTTTTCTGCAAATAAGGTGTGTAAAATTGTCCAAATATTTTGTATGTTCAGGTGCTTACAGCTATTCTTTTGGCTATTATCAAGGATGTCTTTTATTTTTAATTCTAACTGAATCCATAAAAATTTACACATTCAATTAGAATTTTTTTAAAAAATCCTTCATAATGGCTAAAGAATAGCTGAAAGCACGCAAATATACAAAAGATTTGAATAATTTTTGCACACCTTATGTCCAAAAAAGAAGAAGCTAAATATAAAAAAATAAAAAGCCTCTACTGTATATACATGCCTTTGTGTATGTATGTATGCATATAGGCAGGTATAAATATTATATATGCATATTGTTGAGAAAATCTCAATCCAAGAAAAAACATCCATGATGGTGCAGGGTGGGAAAATGAACAAAGGTACTTACCTTAATTTGCATAAAAAATTTCTACTTCTGCTACATAGCTTCTCCATCAAATAACTTACATAGTATAACAAAGGGTTAAAAAAGAGTAATAAAACATTTCCTTTATAACCACTTCATTGATCACATGATAACAAGTCACAAGACCTTGTAACTATAAAAAAATTGGTAAAAAAAGGTAACAGCTTTTAGTTGACCAGAACAAGAACCCACCTTACTCCTCCCACCTGAACCATCAATTTTTTCACAATATACATACATACATATATATATATATATATATATATATATATATATATATATATATATATATATATATATATATATATATGTATGTATGTATATAAAACACTGTCTAGTTTCGGTGGACTGATTTAAAATCCATCAACAACAAACAACTCTGATATAGACAAAACAAACAATAGATGGTCAGGCACTCTCTCGAGTTTCTGGACATTGGAGGTGATAAGATATCTCATTTAATTTGATATATAATTACTAATTATCTTCAGAGATCCCAAGGCATTTTCTCTCACATACAGTTTTTTTTTTCTTTCATTCTAACCTGAGGAAGTCAAGGAGGGCAAACACTCTGACAAACACAATATTATGAATTTTCCAGTTTGTCTCATCATATATATATATATATATATATATATATATATATATATATATAGCAAAATTCAATCATAGTTGGTAAAACTGCAACTGTGGTAAAGCTGACAATTAAAGGAATAAGCCATGAGCTATACAAGATAAAGATTGAACCTGGCCTGACAGCCTTCAAATTTGAGGATAAAACTCTTGTTTTCTTTAAGTTGTCTTAGTTTTATTTTTTACTCTTTGTTTATTTTATATATATATATATATATATATAGTAGTTTCATTAAAATGACTGACAAGGTACTGCAGTTAAGTTTTTTATTTAATTTTGCTTATGTTCTTTTAATTTTTATTCTTTTCTGGACATAAAGTATGTAGAAATTGTCCGAATGTTATGTATGTCTGAGCAATTTCAGTTATTCTCTTAGCAATCATCAAGGATAATTTTATTTTTACTTTTAACTGAATGTATGGATTTTTTGTGTATGCAGCTATGTTTTTATTTTCCAAGCACAGCCAGTACATTGTAGCCACATTCATAGTTGATGTTATTGATGTTATTACTTTATGTCCAGAAAAGAAAAAAATTATTAGAACATAAGAAAAATGAAATAAAAAGTTTAACTGCAGTAACTTGTCAGTTGTTTTTGAGAAAACTTGTATAAAAGAGGGATTGCTACCCAAATACAAAATCATATATATATATATATATATATATATATATATATATTAAACATAGTATGTTTACATAGCAATCCATCATTTAAATATTCTTCCAAGAAAGGAGGTCAGATATCTAAAACTTCTTAACAGGCTCCATCTGAAATTTATTTTATTTTCAGTAAAGAAAAATTTTAATTTTAATGCAAAGGCATCTGTCTCTTCAGCTTGATATTGTTCAAATCTTAAATATAAAAAAAGTTATGAACATTGTCACTTTGAATCCAGATATTGTGACATTGCGTTATGTATATCTCCAATTTTCTTCAACACTCTTAACAAAGAATATCATTAAATATCTATAAGCAGCTGGTACAGACTGATATTTTAATGATTTTATATGACTTTTATTGCGTCAATCCTGCCACAAGCTTCACTTTTGGATGTAATCATTGACAATTCCATCAGATGAGAAATGGTTTTTTTTTCAAAGGGCTGGAATTCAGTCCAAGTTTGGGTTTCTGTAAAGAAAATAATAAATATTTTTAATGTTTTTAAATTCTTGCATGTAAAATGGAATATGAAATAACATTTTTCCCGTTAGAAACAGTGTGGTCATTTAATCTACACAGACAAAATAAGTTTTCATTCAAATGAGAATTAAAATAAATCTATAAGAATCAAATAAACATAATTTTCAGTTATCCCGTATTTCTAGTAATAAACCTATTGCACATGACCTTTTTTTTTTGTCTTATTAATTTATTACCTGACTAAATCAAACTTATTGATCCTGACCAGGCATCTCAACTTCAGTCACTTTCTCACCAATGTGACATGGCTTCCCTCTGTCTTTTCTACAAATATTTTCATAGTAACTGCACTGAGAAGCTTTTTTCCCTAGTGCTCTGATTACATTAATTTAAGTGTGCTACTAAATTGGCATTTAAGTCCCACCCTTTTTACTGTTGAACTTGTTAAATGCAACCACCGCTTCTACTCCAACAGTTTCTTTTCTCGCACTTCCCACCCGTGGAACTTCCTTCCATTTACTTGCTTCCCTGATAACTACAATGTTCAAAAATTCAAATGCAACATCAACCACCATCTTCTGTCTTCTTGAATCTTCTTAATCTTTTGTTCTTTCCTCAATCCTCTCTATTCTGATTCTTCTCTTTCAATTTAATTCCCCGTAACCCCCTGCATAATAGTGGCAATCCCACCTTACTTGGGGTGAAGTGGCTTCCCTCTGTCTTTTCTACAAATATTTTCATGGTAACTGCTCTGAGAAGCTTTCTTTCCTAGACCTTCATCAAGTCCCACGATTTTATGGTCAAACTAACTAAATGCAACATCCATTTCTACTCCAACAGTTTCTTTTCTTGAACTTCCCACCTGTGGAACTCTCTTGTGTTTAATTGCTTCCCTGATAACTACCATCTTCCAAATTTTCACTGGTACTTCTAAATAACTGTTAATTTGCTATTGACTTACCTTATTATATGGTGACAAGAGTGCTTTGACTTTTCTCTCAGGTGGACTAGAACACAAGTCTTTACCAACATTTTTGACAGTCACCAGGGGAACTGGAGGTGGTAATCTGTTGGAGTAGATTTGTTGTATCCTTGATGTTGACTTCTTTTTTACCCTTGGAGGGGCACTAATCCACCAGGACATTCCTCCCTGATTGTCAATTGGCCTGTAGCCATTATTCAAAGTCTTGTTACTAGTTTCTGTCTGGCATCCTTTGTGTGAGGAAGCAGATTTTCTGACATCTTTGTCTCTGGCAGAGGGAGTGTCCATTGTTTTCCTTGGTTCCTTGCTTGGCTTCTTTAAAGACTTTACTGTAAAGTAAATAAAAAAAAATGTATACATATAGGCTGCATCAATCAAGACATTGGTCAGCTCCAGGAGAGCACAAAGAGTAGTGGAAAGATCAGTATACCCCATTATGAAGGAAAGGATTCTCTACAACTGCTGGAGGAAACATCAACTGGAACATGAAATATCCAAACAGATCAGGACATTACTTAGCAAAATAATGCTAGACTCAGACAAATACAGAATCCAACGAGAAATGCTAGACTCAGACAAATACAGAATCCAACGAGAAATGCTAGACTCAGACAAATACAGAATCCAACGAGAAATGCTAGACTCAGACTAGACTCAGACAAATACAGAATCCAACGAGAAATGCTAGACTCAGACAAATACAGAATCCAACGAGAAATGCTAGACTCAGACAAATACAGAATCCAACGAGAAATGCTAGACTCAACAAATACAGAATCCAACGAGAAATGCTAGACTCAGACAAATACAGAATCCAACGAGAAATGCTAGACTCAGACAAATACAGAATCCAACGAGAAATGCTAGACTCAGACAAATACAGAATCCAACGAGAAATGCTAGACTCAGACAAATACAGAATCCAACGAGAAATGCTAGACAGACAAATACAGAATCCAACGAGAAATGCTAGACTCAGACAAATACAGAATCCAACGAGAAATGCTAGACTCAGACAAATACAGAATCCAACGAGAAATGCTAGACCAGACAAATACAGAATCCAACGAGAAATGCTAGACTCAGACAAATACAGAATCCAACGAGAAAAATCAGCTCCAACGAGAAATGCTAGACTCAGACTACAGAATCCAACGAGAAATAGACAGAATACAGAATCCAACGAGAAATAGCTAGACAGAATCCAACGAGAAATGCTGACTCAGACAAATACAGAATCCAACGAGAAATGCTAGACTCAAATACAGAATCCAACGAGAAATGCTAGACTCAGACAAATACAGAATCCAACGAGAAATGCTAGACTCAGACACAAATACAGAATCCAACGAGAAATGCTAGACTCAGAAATACAGAATCCAACGAAATGCTAGACTCAGACAAATACAAATCCAACGAGAAATGAATCAGACAAAACAGAATCCAACGAGAAATGCTAGAGACAAATACAGAATCCAACGAGAAATCAGACAAATACAGAATCCAACAACACTCAGAAATACAGAATCCAACGAGAAATGCTAGACTCAGACAGAATCCAACGAGAAAGAATCAGACAAATACAGAATCCAACGAGAAATGCTAGACTCAGACAAATACAGAATCCAACGAGAAATGCTAGACTCAGACAAATACAGAATCCAACGAGAAATGCTAGACTCAGACAAATACAGAATCCAACTAGAAATGCTAGACTCAGACAAATACAGAATCCAACAAGAAATGCTAGACTCAGACAAATACAGAATCCAACAAGAAATGCTAGACTCAGACAAATACAGAATCCAACGAGAAATGCTAGACTCAGACAAATACAGAATCCAACGAGAAATGCTAGACTCAGACAAATACAGAACCCAACAAGAAATGCTAGACTCAGACAAATACAGAATACAACAAGAAATGAATAAATCATACAATCAGGAATTTCAAAGAATCAATGCTTGCCAATTATGGAAATTAGGACATAATAGGAGTAGTTAAGTTTGCCTATTGTCTGGTTCATGCTTCCATAAATTCCATTTTATGATCTGTGAATTGCAATGCATTCTTGGGATGGACAGTGGCTTGCAATTCAAAGTCTTCCTTTTTTCCGATTATTTATTTTTATTTTTTCCTTAATAAGAGTAGATCAGTTCACTTATTGTCTGGTTCAAACTCTTCCCCAGTCTTTTAAAAATGAGTAGAGGTTTATCCTTTGCTTTCCTGTTTAGAATTGGATTTCTGGTTCCTTATAAAGTTTTTTCATCCTCTTTCACTTCCAGCAGCACCTTGAGTCTTAATCGCATTATCACTTTGCTCAGAGTGAATTGATTAAAAAAAGAAAGATGAAAGAGCAGTTGTTAATATTAGCACTCAGCAATTGAGTGCCTCTGAGGAATCAGTGCCAAACCGTGGTCTCAACTTTGGCACAACCATTAGACATATTCTATACTTAGATATGATAGTTACAGTGGAGGAGATTGCCTTGAAGACCCCCAAATACCTAAGTAGGTGAGCTAAGATAGAAAGTGAGACAAGCACTAGAAAAGGTAAAACCGTCCAAATCAAACATTACAAGTGAAGAAAGTTTAGTAATACAGACCATACAGAGTGACACTGGTATCATCATACTACCAGCTGACAAATGCAATGCTGTGGTGGTGATGGAAAAGTTACAATAGTCCAAGAAATTGGCAAGCCTAGTTGGGGATGTTAGCTATAGCAAGGTGTCTCTCAAGGTGTTCCATATCATGTAATCTGGATTAGTTTTAATCAGCATTTCAATTTGGTCATCATCAAAACTGTAGGCCTTCTAGGTCTTTTAGATCAAAATTTCCACTATTTATAAACAATACTCATAAATGATACATATATTTTTTGATGTTTGTACAACATTTTTCCCTTTCTGGAAATAAAAGAGTAAATGTTGAAAGTGCATCTCTTTTTCCTCTTATTTTCAGTTTTAACATAAAAACATTTAAAAAATCACAATCTACACATGAATCATATTGTAAGATACATTGAAATGTCACATTTCAGAATATATATCCTTAAATATAATATGCCACATGCACGCACACACACACACACACACACACACATATATATATATTTAAATTTTTTGCGTGTAACAATTGAGGGGCAGTGTGCAAAATTTTGACATGAGACACACAAAAGTCATGACCGCACTCACATTCACACACAAAAAGCTACCACACTGACAAACTACAAGGCAATCCCCTTCTTTCTCTCTCTCTCTCTGCAAACTATGATCAAAGAGAAGGAGTGAAGGAAAGTAGCCACAAAAAGAAATAGATACACAACTGCAAAGAAAGAATGAAAGAAAAAGAGAGGGGGAATAGAAAGGGATAGAGAGGGGGAATAGAAAGGGATAGCGAGAGGAGATAAATATATGTCAGACAAAACTTGGCTGAGGTTTATATTTTATTTCAGCTTGAATTAAACTTCACATAAAGTTACTTTTCTTCTTGTGGAATCAACTATCACTAGCAATGATGTTCTAATTTCTCAGTAAATTTGACTCTCAAGAACACCCAAGGTGTATCACAAAAGCACATGTATAAAAACTATGCATGTGTGTGTGTGCGTGCATGTACACACACATACAATGAAGACACAAAATATGGATATCTTTCCTGAGGTGTTTATAAATTGCACACTGTTCAGTTATTAATGTTAACAATGAACTATTTTAAATTACAAAATTACACTTGGATTAAACAAAAATTACTTACAATATAATACATATTACTTATAATGCATTCCTTCTTGTCATCAATTTTGGTGGCATGGATACACTAGTATATATATATATATATATATATATATATATGTGTGTGTGTGTGTGTGTGTGTGTATATATATATATATGTGTGTGTGTGTATGTGTGTGTAATAAATTTCAGTCACATGTGAAACAAAATAACATATTCAAATGCCAAATATTAAAAAAAAACACAATAAGCTTTTATTCCAACCCAATATTTACATGGATTATATCGAATACTGGCACAAGTAAACTATGAATTATTTGAACAAAAACTTTGTTGTTTTCAACATTTCAGCTAATCCATTCTCCAACCTTCTTCAGTTGCATTTTTTCATCAAGAAACCTCAACTAATTTTTCCTTCTTCTTTTTTTATATTTGCAACAGAGAGAGGTTGACACACATGAATGCACGCACGCAAATGTAACGTTTATTGATTGAAGATGGAAAACACGATCTTCCGTGAAAGTTACAAACTGTGTCAGTGCTATTAATAGGAAAGAATCTAGAACAATGATATATGAAACCTGAGATGGCTGATGGATAAAGAATAAATTTCAAATCGGGTTGGCAAGGACTTGTTTATAAACAAATGCAAAAGGGAAGGAGGCGATGTTTAATAATTTTGTCATTAAGAAAAAAAAAATAGACGAAAATAATATTTTTGATAAAAACATATTGAAGTAAATTGGACCGGGGAGGTAAGATCAGTGTATGTTTACCGTTAGCAAAATCTGATCTAAACATAAGTTTTATCTGCTGAATTTGGTCATCGAAAAGACAATTGAAATGAACATTGAACTAATTAATTTTATCCACTAAGAGATTTGAAATAGATCTGAATTTAAACTTTGCTTATGGTGACACTTGTGTTAAGCGCGTGAACAACCTGGCTTATAACCTTTGGTTTGCTATATAAACGCGAGTGTTGCTGAGTTGGGGAGACTTGGGTGTTAGATGAGAGTGACGTTGAGGGAGAGAGACTGTTGTTGCAGTGAGCCGGTCCAGTGGCGAGTCAGAGATAAGGACTTCAAGAAATATCATTGTCGTTGTAGCAGTCGCTTTGAAAAGTCGCTGAAATTTAACGTTTGTCACTTACGACAACCAACTGAAAAGCTACACTTCCACGTAAGGCTGGAATTACGAGTCACATATCCTCCCAAGTGGATTTGGAATGAGTTAATCACACACACACCTCTCTCTGTTGGTATAATTGGTAGAGGAGTAGTCCTCTGTTCTTATGTTAATTGCTTTTCTATCCTTTCTGGAAACTCTTTCTACTGTTGTTGTTTTCTTATATAAAAGACATCAATATTTTACCCATTAATGTTCAACTTCCGCAGATATTATTTCCTTGTTTGCCACATTCTAATTTTCCTGCCGCCCACTCTCACAGCCGTGCCTACATCCCCAATCGACTGTGAACATATGGACAACACCCCGCTTACTGGATCTAAAAACTAACACAACGTGGGCAGCAGGCAGAACTTGGCCAGTGACCGGTCGAACAATCTACAGGTACTCAGGGAGTGTGAAGCCAGCTACCCCTGAGTTTGGTTCAGACCAAGTGGGCGCCTCAACCCAAAGAGGAAGACACCGGAGGTTGAGGGGCTGAAGGGATGAGTGGTAGATTAACATCCTGACACCATCTCAGTTATACAACTTATAGATTCATTTTTCAAAGTGTGTAATACACTCCCTGAATGCATCAGCTAAAACACTGTAGTAAAAAGTACTAATACTAAAAGGGGTACTATAATTTAGGGGACTAATTGACAATACTTAATCTCATAACTTCAGACAACATAAACAGACCAGTCCTAATAATAAAGAAAAGACTGAAAATGTCAAGACAGTCAATTGTTTCTTACCTTGGTGGGCCTTGGGTAGAAATTCTGGAGGTAAATAACAGAAGAGAATTGGTGAACCACACTGTGATAAGCGTGCAGAACTAGACTTCTCTGTATTCACTGCATCTACCCAAGACATTCTTCTTCCGGGTGGATTTGATCCTGTTTCAGCTGCCATCTTTTTATTTGTAGGATAATCTTTGTTTAAGAAATTTTCATTTGCATGCAAATGTTCCATCAACTCCCTCACTAAATAAGAAACTTTTTTGGCTTCAGAAGGCTCGATGGGCTGACCAATCTGTTATAAAGAGAAACAAATAAAGATTGCTTTAGTCATATATATATATATATATATATATATATATATATATATATATACACACACAAAAAAAGGTTTTGGTTTGTCTGTTTCATTTTTTTATTGCATTTTCAAATTTTCAAATAAGATGTCGTACACCAGGATCAAAACAGAATATAATCCATCCAAAGTACTTTTGTTCTTTTTCTTTTTGTTTAAGTACTTTCAATCATCTCAGACATTATCAAGAACTGAATTAATGTCAGAGTGGTAGATACCAATTCTTGATAATGGCTGAGATGGTTGAAAATATATGAACAAAAAGGAAAGAAAAAAACATGACCTTTGAATGGTTTAACCACAATTTTGATGTCAATGTACAATATCTTATTTGAAAATCATAAAAATACAATAAGAAATTAAACAGACAGACCTTGTGGATTGAATTTAACAAAACTTGTTCAGATGAATTCTTGCTGCCTATATATATATATATATATATATATATATATATATATATATAAATAATGGACATTGAAGTCAACAGCCAGTCTGTTTCATGCTAAGTGCAATTGTCAGGCATTTTATATATATATATATATATATATATATTAAGAAATGGACAAAGTCAGACAATTTATTTATTAAAGACATTTTTATGTTTAACGTTCTTTTTTATATATACAAGTATTTAAGTAAATGCTCTGTTTATAATAAACAGTATTAAATAACATTTACCGGCCTGAATGTCCGAGAAATTTTCATAGAAAATATTCATTCTTTGACAGGATTCGAACCTACATCCTATACGGAACCATCATTTACGCTGACGTGCCTTGACCGCTCGGCCACAAAGGATCGTTCGGTTGGCAAGGTTGAATTTACTGCTTATAAACTTCAATCTTCCATGAATCTCGTACATTCATAACTGCTCATGGCATATCAAATGTAAACAAATGACGTCATATATTAAGAAATGGACAAAGGGATAGAGTGTGTGTAAATATAAAAGTGGAGAATGAGATCAACACCGAGTTGTGACAGTTTGCTTTATGCTGGAAGAAAATCTTTAAGACACACACACACATATATATATATATATATATATATATATATATATATATATATATATATATATTACCCAGCAAAAAAATTCACAAATTACCTCATGTGGGTATAAATCTATTTCAGCCAATGCTAAGTACATTGGTCTTATTTTACCCTGGTGTGTGTATATATATATATATATATATATATATATATATATATATATATGTGCATATGGACTTTAGCAAGGCAAATATAAGGATTTTATTGTGCAACAAATATTTATAAACAGAATCAAAAATGTCATGAGTTTTACAAAATTAAAAAAATCTGTGAAACATGACAGCAAAGATAAGTTTTCCTTTTGTCTTTATTCTTATTGTCTATTTATAGATATATTTTTAGTTATATCTGAATTTATATATATATATATATATATATTGAAAGTAGTTTTCTTTGTTTCAGTCATCACTTGGTATGGAGGTAGAACTTCTATGTCACAGACTAGTAGACATCACAACAATATGACATTGCCAGTAGGATCTCTAACACTGTTGGATCCATTGTTTTGCTGTCCAGATACAAGACGTTAAGACCACAAAGTTGCAGATGGGGCAAATAAGATTACAGATCTCTTTTTGGCTTCAACAGTGTGTGAGGCCATCAGAAAAATCTCTGTTATGGAGTATCTCAGAAAATTGAAGATTTGACCTTTTCACAAATTTTGGACATTATAAAGAGAAATTTTCAGCTGAAAAAGAAGTTGATTATTGCTAAGAGCACAAAGTTTCTCATGAGCAAACAAAAACCAAACAAAACAACAATACAATATGTACACAAGCTATGAGAGGCTTCCAGATTCTGTGAGTCTGAAAAATTTTACACTGAAGAAATGACAATTGAAGATGAGTTGATACAGATGAGAGTTATTTAAGTTTTGTGTGATGCTTGATATAAGCACAAAATTTTAGAATGGTTACAACTGACTAAAATGTACTTGGATAAATCTAAGGAGTTTCTGCAAAAATCAAAGTTAATTAAAAAATTCAATACATTCAAGAGTAATTGAATCACCTTGTGTGATAAAAAATGTCCAGCTTTAGGACAAGCATGATAGAATTGTGAAAAAAAAAATGAAGCTGAATAGTGACTTTAATTATATAGTGCCTTTGCTTAGTAATCAATGCATGCCATAGCCGAGAGGTCCAAAGTACATCAAATCTAATGATGGTTTCCCCTAGGCAAATACAAGTTTGAATCCTTCCAGAGAGCACATATTTTTCTCTAATAAGATTTCTTGAATATTCAGGATAGTAGCCAAAAAAAAAATAAGTATACTGTTTAATAAACGAATGGAGCATCCACTCAGATATGAGTATCCACTAAAAATAACGTTTAAGTAATAAAAATTCTTTGGATTAATAAATAAAAGATCCATCACATTCCTAAGAAAGTTTGGTATAATTTCGAAAATAAATTTAATTGTATTTGTACAAGAAAAATCAAAGAATAAATCTGACTTTAGTTTTTGTGAATAAAGAGTACTTGACTGTTATGCAATATCAATCCTCCTGTATGGCAGTGAATGCTAGATGATCTCACAGATGAAGGAGAGACTTGAAGCAACAGAAATGTGGTTCTACAGAAGGATGCTGAGAATAAAATAGATTGAATATGTGATCAATGATAAAGTTTTAGAGAAAATGGAAACAAAAAAGACATATACTTAAGAATCAGAAAGAGACAACTGAAATTTCTAAAGCACATAATGAGGAAAGAGGGCTTGGAGAATTTAACACTCACAGGACATTGAAGGCAAGGCGGACAGAGGAAAACAGAGAACAACCTACTTAACAAGCTTGTGTAAAGAGTTAGCAGAACAGGGATTAGGAGAGATAGCAAAAAGACAAACACTGCTAAAAGCTACAAAGGACAGGAAGTTGTGAAGAGTCATAATCACCCACTTCCTGAAGGGACATAGCAAATAGAAGAAGAATTGTGTTCATGGATTTTGTCTTACCTTTTGTGGGTTTTTCAAATCTTCACCTTTCAAGTCAGTTAACATCATATTGCTAATATAAACATTTTCTAAAAAAACAAAAAAATAACAGACATAAAAATATTTATTAAGCTGAAAAAAACATGTACTGGCCAAAGTTAATTTCACAGTTCATTGCTAACAAGTTTCATTACCATTAAATGCTCTACTTTTGTGGCCTTTTACCAAACAAAGCAAAGTTTAGTAAATACCAATTAAGAAAAAAATAAAACTGTGTTTTTTTAAAATGTCTAGGAAACATAAATAGTAATTTGAATACCACAAAGGAATTTAGATATGTAACTATAACATTAAGTTCAAAATCTCAAATTTTTACAAATGTGGGATAAAATGAATAAGGAGTTGGATCTGGAAAGAGCCAATCTCAGTGCCAGATTTACATTATGGGCTAGTATGGGCTGCAGCCCAGGGGCCCCAAGACTAGAGAAGCTCCCAAGGGTCCTCTAGTCTTGGGACCCTGATAAAACTAAAAAAATATAAATATATAAGTACAGAGGAGATTATTTTCAGATTTAATGGGGCTCCTTTGAACTAATTTGAGATAATATAGAGTATTTAGACACCTTCAGTTGGGGTGGGTTTTTAAATTTGATAGAGTCCCTTGAAGGGCTCCATTTAGATTTTGGTGCATCTTTTTTATATACATATAGATTTTTGATGTAGCATCATCTAAAAATAAATATTTTTTTATAGATGTGAGGTGGAGTCAAGCATAATGAAGGGACCCAAATTTTATTAGCCCAGGGGATACTTAAGGCCTAAATATGGCTCTTGCCAATCTTATAATGCAAATTGACAACTACATTGCCATTATATAAAAAAATGGTAACATCATAGTAGCCCATGTAGATCAAATAAGGCTCCAAGAAGTTTATGAGAGGGAAAGGGATGAAGAGCTTTTCATAAGCACTCTCAGTTATGATCTTGTGGACCAACAGCAAAACATGGCCCTACAGGAATGAGACAAATGGTTATAGATGATCAACAGGACCAAGAGCTTTCTGAAATGTCCAACAAAGATGCAACAATGGAAGAAGAATATCATGAGTACAACATAAGATAAGCAAAACTGAGATTGCCAAACAAAAGAAATGCATACAAAAGAGATGGGGTAGGGAGAAAGAAGGCAAAGAATTTCTGAAAATGAAGCAATGTATAAAAGAGTAAGATCTATAAGGGATATAAAACCCCTACATTTCCATGAGATGTATTGATACATTTAAATGTGAGAGGTTGCCTGATTTACAGAGGTAGAAAATCTAAAAGACCTATATGAAGTAGCAACAGTAGTAATAATCTTGGTCATATTAGTAGATGTACTGAGCAATTTGTGAATACCACTGAATAACTTTTAACACATCACAACAAAACTCTGTTGTCACCTGACAATAAAATCATTGTCAAGTTACTATTTCTATTGTGCAAGATATACAGATGATATCATGTTGATGGCAAATGCAAAATAAAGTGTAAGAACTCCTAGACAAAGTGAGAAGAAAGATCAAACCATAAATTTTACAAGCAAGAGAGCTATCCCAAGATGCAAGCTACGAATTGGAGAAATTTAGCTATCTTAGAAGTATTTTGAAAGACAACAGAAAGTGTGATATAGAAATCTGAAAGTGCATTGGAATAGGGAAAGCTGCACAAGGTATTAAGAAACAGGAAAATTTTATTAGAAACAAAGAAAAAACGATTCCAAAATATCTGTTAAAGATGTAACAATGGAAAACAAATTGCAATATGACAGACTCATGATTGACCTGAATATAAAGGAGAAAGATATAGACATATAGCAAATTTTCATTGTATAATATAGTACAGAGGAAATGAGGGTGATTTGACTCTGTGGAAGTAGGAGAGCATGTCTTAGCAATAAATGTCTGAACTGGTGGAATTAATGAATGGAGCGCTCATCTGAACACTTGCTACGGAAGTTGCAAAGGAGTAGCAATAGGCTTGTGACATTGCCTCTATAGAAAAGAAACTGAAAGTGGAGAATAGCATCCAAGACATTTATGGACTTGGAGAAGACCAGGAGGTGAAACAAAAACCCAAATCAGCTATATGACTATCAATAAGAGATTCAGGAATGCAGTTTTACACTGCAAAAGATACCCAAGTACCAAATGCATGAGCAATCACATTCTAGTGATATGTAAACTTAGAGTGAAACTATGTAAAATGAAGAGAGCCAAGGGTGCATCCAAATTGCACTATGACAGACACATGAATGTGAAAGAGAAAAGATATAGACATATAGCAAATTTTCATTGTATAATATAGTACAGAGGAAATGAGGGTGATTTGACTCTGTGGAAGTAGGAGAGCATGTCTTAGCAATAAAGGTCTGAAATGGTGGAATTAATGAATGGAGCGCTCATCTGAACATCTACCATGAAAATAGCAATAAATAGTGATAGGCTTGCAACATTGCATCTATGGAAAAGAGGCTGCAATTTTTCCCAATAATACTGTATAAATGTTTTTGAATTCTATCAAGGTTGAAAAGTGAGGACTGTGTAGCTCCAGCCCAATACTCTGAAGGAAGGAGTCAGATTCTTCTTGAAATGATAGAATGAGCCAACAATTTCCCAGCATCTCTAGCAATGGATCATATATATGAGTTCCACTTAAGGTCTGAAGTGAAGTTGAAACCAAATAGAAATTCAAAGCATGGTGCCTTATTGAGAGTGCAACCTTTCATCATGACTGAAAAAAATAATCATAGTCTGATCAGTAATGATTAAATGATACAAGCTTGGTTTTTGAAGTATTGAAAGTTACAGGCTAATGTAATCCACCAACACAAGCTGAACTGTGTGACCCAACAGTTCTGCACAAGACAATTCTGTGTCGGCAAGTATGCAACAAACCAGTTTTATAAAAAAATTTCTTTTCTATAAAGCAGGTATGTATCAGAAGCCCAGCATACAAAGTTTGAGTTTATATTTGTTATTCACAGGAGAGACATAATAAAATGCTGAAACAGAATTAGCAATGACTTACATGATATTTATAGGATTATTATTTGTAAAATATAAGCGCCCACTTAATTAATCTCCAGTAAACATTTTTTAAATAATAGTTGTATATCTAGCCATAACCTTCACATTTCCTTTATGTATTGATGTTTTGAACTGGCAGAATAAACTACAGGCACAAGGCACATTTTTAGCCTTCTAATTCTATCCCCAATGATAGCCTAACCAGTATGTAATTTCTTGACCTTTTCCTCTAAGTGTTGGTCTCTCAATATCTTAGTATTTGAACATTTACTTAATGTAACAACTTTTGTGTACATTTATTTTTTATTCATCATGTAGAACCCTTTTGATTGGTTTGGTTTGTTTCATTTTACAACATATCGACTTCAATGAGTTATTTAATGCTGACAAGATTTTTATTGCTTGTAATATTTTTTCAGAAATGTATTACTGGTAATAATTTTTCTTTTTTTTTTTTTTTCAAAAATATATTGCTGGTAATAACCCCTTCATTCCAAAAATATATTGCCTTGCTGGAAATAATTCTTTCTCTTTCTCAAAAATGTATTGCTGGTAATAATTCCCCTTTTCAAAAATGTATAGCCGGCAATAATCTTTTTTAAAAAAATGTATTTCCGGCAATAATCTATTTTTAAAAAATGTATTGGTAGCAATAATCTTTTGTCTTTTCCAAAATGTATCACTGATAACAATTTTCCAAAAATGTATCACTGGCAATAATTTTTCTTTTTTTGCAAAAATGTACTGCCAGTAACAATTTTTTTTCAAAAATGTATTGCTGGTATTTTTAATATAAAAAACAATTTTTACACTTTCATAGTTTTGAATCCAGTTTGGGTGTTAAGTATTTTAGCTGGGACCCTAACAGATGCTACCACCCTGAGTCAGGATGGACCTGGGAACAGCAGCAATTAAGAGGTGAGAACCCTTTTGATCATATGTTGACTGTTCTCACACTATGACATGCTGTAGATTCATGTAACTTTCTTCTTTTTCAATAGATCAATTATAGTAAACTTTAATACATAACTCCTGTCAGCAAACTATTTGCTACTACTTTTTCCCATTTATATCCTTGGTCGCTCAACCTTCAACCTCTTTGTCATATTTCTTCTTTCCCTAACATTTAGGCTTATTATGGCTGAAAACAAAATATGTAAAAATCAAATTAGAAGAAACTGCTTCTCACCAGAAGTATCTGTATTTTTGGAGATGCTTTGGGGCAGGATACAGCAGACAAAAGCCATCTGAGATTCTGAGGTATTCCCTGGATAAGTGAGGTTACTTTCAGGATAGACAAAGTTTTCTTTCTTATAGTTATCCCATATATCAGGACCACATCCGCCAGCAATATTGTAGCCAGATGACTGGAATCAAAGGTGTCATACATGTAAATGACTCTTGGCTAATTAAACAGAAAGGAAAACATAATTTAAATTTTTCTTTTATATATTTGCATATGGCTAAATTTTATCTGTGTGTCCTCACCTTAAATCATCAGTACAAAACAGCCTAGCACATACCACTACTATCAAACATTATATATATATATATATATATATATATATATATATATATATATATATATATACACATACAGATTGATGATATTGGTGGTAAATATACACATACATATGCAATCATATATCTAAAATATATATACATACATACATACACATACATATATATTTGTATAAAAATAATTCCAAGAGGTAGAACTCAATGTCCAAGACAGAGTAAGGATATAATAAAAAGGCTTTAAACATAATATTATATATATATATATATATATATATATATATATATATATATATATATATATATATAATAATAAAAAGGAGGCACGGTGGAGTAATGGATAGTGGAGTGGATTGAGGAATCGCAGAGCCGAGTTCGAATTCCAGTCGAATCCATTACATTGCACTTACGTGCTAATACCCTTGGGAAAGGGTATGAATCCTCTTCTTCTCCCTCCAGCTATGGGTAAAATAGCAGGACAGACTGGGTTCTATAGCCTTGGATGGCAGCTGGTCTAGGAGAAAGACAACTCTGAATTCAAAACCTGCGGAGGGTCGTTTGGGAACCTTGTGGCACTTAGTGCACCAGGTCTCTGTATTCATCTTTTCAAAAAGTGTGGATGGTCCTGCACGAAGCCTTCACCACTATAATCAAATCTCATGTGCTGGTGTCGGGCTGTCAGTTTCCTGGAAACTGATCTGCTTGACCCTCATACCTTGAATTCGATGGGTGAGCCGACTATATATATATATATATATATAAAGGAGGTTTGTGAGTCCTGATTTTTTCCTTTTTATATCACTGGAACTATTTATTCTGGTTATTGCCATCTTCTCCCTTTTTTTCTCCCTTTTTGATAATAAATCACATTTTAGTCAAAGTTCCTTGTTTCTTCTAGGCTGTTTGTCACTTTGCAAATTTTGTTAATATTCTATTTAGCAATTATAACAAGAATTCTTTTGATGCAGAATTGGCCAAAGAGGTTACCTTAAAATGAAAAAATGCAGTTTTGTTTGTTCAAAACAACTTACAAGCTCTCTGGTATCAAACTTCTGTTTTATATATATATATATATATATATATATATATATATATATATACCAAGGTAAAAGAACAAAAAGAATATAAATTCAAACATTCATAACATTAATTAAAAACAAGGGCTCAATACAAGAGTAGAACAACAGATATTTATTATAAACTGTTACATTGGAACATGCAAGTTACCACAGCAAAAATGCTTATTTGTTTCAATGTCGATTTTTAAATATCTCATTAGTTAATGTTATTGTCAATGTTAACCACCAGATGAGATGTCTAAATTAGTGAAACAAATATGCATTTTTGTCATAGTAATTTGCACGTTCCAATGTAACAGTTTATATATATATATATATATATATATATATATATATAACAAACAGTGTTTACAACAGAAATGGTAATATTTAATTTGCATAACAATTTTTAAACCCATATTTTAATAAATATTTTATCTTTGTTATTTTTAATTTACATTTAAAAATTGTCATATATAATAAACAATGTTTCTATCGATAATTCTTTTAATTCACCATGTTTGTATAGAAAGACTTTATACCTGCTGTGTTAAAATTCAATTGTAAGTTAAAAAAAACCTACAGCATTAGGTATTGTAATAAGCATAGTTGTCATCTGACATTTTACATTACTACAAATTGTCAGAATTGAAAAAGAATTATGGAATTATCTGAAATAAGTCAAATTAATTAGATTTTCATTAAACTATACCAAATTATTTAAAGAAAGAATAAAAAATTATAAGTTTGAATTTATTTTTATTATAAGCATTAGAAAATTATTCAAATCTCATGGTCATCTCTATGCAGCCATGTCTAGAGTAGCATAATGACAAAAAGAACTTTGTAAATTAGATGTCTTGCTGTAAATACTTTTTGTACAGAAATTTTAGGAAGGTAATAAAACTTCAATGACAACTTACTTTTCTCTGTCCATAAGACGGGTATTTGGCCAGTATAAGTTCCTTTAGGAAAATTAGATATTTTAACTGTACGTATATTCTAATAGCTTTGATGTCCAGATAGAGAGATAGAAAGCTGGAAACAATCATTTTTAGATAGATAGATAGATAGATAGATAGATAGATAGATGTGAACAGACTGAGATAGATATATATGAACAGACTGTGATAGATAGATAGATAGATAGATAGATAGATAGATAGATAGATAGATAGATAGATGTGAACAAACTGAGATACTGAAATAGATATGAACAGACTGAGATGAATGATCAAAACCAAGAGGAAAAACATTTTCATAACTTTTTAGGTAAACATCATATATTGGCATAAAATTTAAGAAGTTATGCAAAAAGTAAAAGAAAAAATATCATACCTTATTCCTTTGTGAACTGTCTTTTTTTGAATCTGGAAATAATATATATAAAAGAATAAAACATATATATATATATATATATATATATATATATATATATAGTTTTATGGCATGGTATATTTATGGATAAAAGTGCTCAATATCAAGAACAAAATATATATTAAAAAATTATATAAAAGTGGACACTGTAGATAGCATTCAAGCATGAAATAAATTGTCTCCACTCATTGTTGACCTCAGTATCCACTTTCACACACACTCACATATATATATATATATATATATATATATATATAATATATATATATACTCTATGTCAAATTTTTTTTTTTTTTTTTTCTGTAATGTTCACCCTGTACAGGGCCCAGGGGTCACTTAAGATAGAGTGTTACATTAAGAGGCAGTTTGTACAGACAGGAGGGAAGATAACAGTTAATCCTAGACTTGAACACGTTAAGATTGTAGTGATCAGGGAAATATCCTCTTGGGAGTCAGTTCCACAGAGCAGTGGTTTGCTGGAAGAAGCTGTTCAAATGGAATTTACTTCTCACTAAAAGAATATGGAAGGAATGTGAATGGTTTGCTACAATGTAAGTATCATGGCATGTCCTTGCCGTGAAGGTCAGAACAAACAGATTCAAGGAATGTTGTTCATCAGAGCCATGGAAGTAGCAATAGACTAGTGAGAGGCTTACCACACCCCACCTGTGAGAATTTATTATGAAGGTTGATATTTTCACAATAAAATTGGTATTAACTGATGTTGAGAAAATATGCATATATTTATATGACTAGCATATTTGGTGACTTACAACTTATATCTCTCTGTATTAAAAAAAAAATATTAATAATAGCCTTTAAAGAAAAGCTCTTCCAAGTTTCTACCTATAAAAAGACACAGCCAAAATATGGATAAGTATATCTGAAGATCACCCAGTATGAGACTGCCAGTTATTCTTTTATTCATTTGTGTTTGAATTGGTTTTACTTAAACATAAATCTTTAAAAAGAACTCAGATTTAAGGATGTTCTCCCTATATAAGATTTGTAAGAAATTCACCAAAATAACAAAAATCTCCAATAATTGACTTTGGTTTGAATTCACTTATTGTTGACCATCTTACTCACTTGTTTGAATTACTTAATTTAAACACATACAAAATTTAATACATCTAGTTTCAATTTGAGTATAACATTGCAATTCTCAGGCAAGGAAATCTTTCTCCTTGCTATGTTTATGAATATAAAGATGAAATGTTTTCCCAGGTTAACAGATCAGCTCAATTTTAGAAGAATCTAGACTGATTTAATGCTTTTGGTGTGAAGAAAAATGGAGTTATTTTTCTGTTTATAAAATGCTATTTTTTTCTTTTTTTTTTTTTTTTTGTTATTCAATAAAGTTATAATGGCATGGGCTTAGGGGTTAAAATGAACAGTTGATTTACCCACAAAAAGAAGGTTAATGGAGACACATAACGATGAGGAAACATACAGGTAACTTTAACAAAACAAAATAAGGAATTTATTTACAAATTTACATGCATGAAGTTGTGACAGTAGCTTGGTTCAGGAAAATAAATCAGAAATTTTTAAAGTCCATAATTTCAACAAATCGTCATGGAAATGAAATATTCATATTACAGATTAAATGATCTGACACGAAATAATATTCAAAAATGTTAAAACAAAGGTAACATAGCTCGTTGTTCACAAAAGGCTTATATGGATGCAAACATTAAAAAGTAAACAAACAGAGATATTTTGAAATACTTAGCTTTCTTGGATTGTTGAAATAAAGTGCTTTGAAGAGTCAAGTGCTTGGTTAAAGCCAATAATATAATTAGTGAATAATTTGACACTGGTGAAAATTTGAATGCTAGACACGTGAACAGAAACAAAACTTTTCACATGACTTCAGACACTCTTCTGTTAACTTAATTTTTTCCTTATTTTATATCAAAAAGGATTTTACATAAACTTGCTATTTTCTTTTCATTCTTTTTTCTAGATTCAATGGCTAATTCCTGTGAAAACAAGGTTTTAATTGGTTCAAGGAAAATTTCACATAGGCTCATGAATTTGTTTTCATCTATTCTCAGCTCATCGACCAATCTCTGTGAAGTCAAGGTTTTCATTGGTCCAAAGAAAATTTAACATAGGCTCACAAATTTCTTTCCATCTTTTTCCTTAGCTCACCCAAAATTGAAGGAAGTGGATAAAGGCAGATACTATTATTTTGTACTCACTTGAAGAAAGCTTTTGAAAAGCAATCATACCAATAGTTGCCCATTGAAAGTTTATAATGTTTCACTATCTTATTTCAATCTTATTTATAACCCTATTATAATTATACATGTGCTTCCCTCAATTAATTAGCACAATTGTCACATCCTGTGAATACCTCATAAATAATGGACTATTCCATGTTTTGATCATGTGGAAAGAGGGGAGAAGGCATTAGTTTTTTTCAGTGAGAAAATGAAAGAAAGGAGAAAGAAAGAAGGGAAGATAGAAGCAGAGAGAGAGAAGCAGATTAAGCTGATAAGAACAGATACTACACTGATCTCAGCCCAAAAGGCTGAAAAGCAATTGTATTTTCTTGCAGTTTCACACTGATAGGATGTGACACAAGGTTAGTTTAGTGTGGGGAAACCAAGTCTGCATGCATGCAGCTAGGCCAGGTTCAAAAATAGCCCAGCCCCTGCAATGTTTAATGGATGTTTCATTGAAATGGAAAAAGTTGTCAATTTCAAATCATTTTATTTCTATCTACTTCTTAAAATAATGACCAGCATTCATTTTTGTAATTGTTATTGCAATATTTTGTTAAAGTTGTTAAGCTCAAATATTTAACAATATTTATAATTTATAATGTTTCAATCTGTCTCATTTCAAGCAGATTTTTAATCAATTTTCTGTTCATATGATTGTGCAACTTAGAGCACACTTGTTATACCCATAAAGACATACATAAATAAAAAATTAATTATACTGTCACTGTGTTGTGGCCAGAATAGTGTAAAAAATAATTATAATGAAATAATTATAACAATTATAATTATCATTAATTCACTCATTCTAAATCAATGAGAGTTGATTCTCTTTGATTTAGAATGAGTGAATTAATGATAAAATTGTCATAATTATTTCATTATAATTATTTTTTACACAATACTGGCCACAAAACTTTTCTCTTCTACACACACACAAACATAAATATATTAGCTGTGACCTGTTCCAGCTAAACATTCGAGCTCTCTGCCTTCGAGCAGAGAAGAACCCGGACAAGGCTCCGCTGAAGGGCAGAGTTTCATTCAAGGAAGAAGACCCTGAACCTGTTTATGCAGGTTCAAAAAGGGAATATTTTTGGCTGAGCCTACAGGCTCGAAGAACCCACGTTAAACTGGCCTTGTGTCACATGCAGCCCTCGTTTGGGTGGGTAGCTAAATATTCTAGCTGGGATCTGTTGAGTATGACTCAGACTTACGCGAGAACTACTGACCTTCCGATAATAACACTCACTACTGGATTGACTTGCGACAACCTTGTGCATAACTGTTACCTTTATTCTTATTGTACTGTTTTTTACAATAAACCTTTTCTTATTTTATCCACCATGTTTTTCAAATATCTATTCCTATTAGCACGGAATATAACAATCTTTTAGCACTCAAAAAAATTTGAGGTAAGAAAACCCCAGAGACTTCTTGTATTTTTCCAACTAAATTATATGGACATTCATTACACACATCTATAAAAAAAATTATGAAAAAGACTGTATACACTTTACTTTATCTTTATCATTTTTTTGGATTTTGATCTATATTTGACCTCAAACACACAATTTTACTCAGTATTATTGTCTCTCATCTCTCCAACACCACATAACAACCAGATAATACTTGTTTTGTTGTTTCCACATTTTACTGTTTCTCATTTTTACAAGTGTTTTTGTATATATAAATGTTAAGGGGTTTATAATTATTTACTCAGAGTTATAATTCCTCTACACACTCTAAAAAATCTGAATAGTTTTAAGAATGTATCCTGAAATATTGATAGAAATTTATTGTTTAAAGATTCTTTTTTTAAGGTGGGTACTAACATCCTCAACTTTGTTGTTTTCCTGATAAATTCCTAGAAAATCATCATTATCATCAGTGGGCGTGGTTTTAATGTCACTGTGCAATTGAGCACCTGACCCCAACATATCTAGGTTAAAAGCCAGAGATGTATTCATTCATGCATAGCATGTCTTGGATAAGTAGACCTGTCAGAGCCCATCCGAGAAACACTCCACTTCAGTCTAGGGTGCTCTTCAACAGTGATGGAGCATCTTCACTACATTGGCTGCATACATAGCTATGAAGCCCAGTCTACCCCACTGTGCTTGATAGATATTGACCTGACAAAAAGATTCACCTATCCTTTGATATGTTTTGTTTTTAATCCTGTTGGGTAACAAGCTACCCACCTCACAAGAAAAGCCTGGTAGGGGGAACCAGTTTAGTCACCAATGATCTAACCATGCAGCAGGTAGTACTTGCAAATATGTTCAATCTTTTTTTATCCATACAAGAATCTATAAGATTTAAGCATACTCAGAGAGCAGTTTATAGTTCAAAAGTACAGTGAAATATTTAGAATTAAGATTGGGGTTGTTGACAAAAGAACGTATGAGCTCAATTTCTAGAAAGGATATCAGATATACTAAACAAGAAGTGAGGTACTTCTTTCAGTAAATTAGAGGGTTTCATTTGAAACTGACTGAAGGTTTTCATGTGGAACACATTCCCGAAGAAGGTAGGAGAACGTAAAGGCTGAAAAAGTGTAAGCAAAGCCAATATACTAATATCAGACCAGAATAAATCACTGCATTATGCATTTAGCAAAACCTTGTAAATATATTCATTGGATGAATATAAAGAAATAAACGGTGTGAAAAGTCAATATTCTCACAGAAGAAACTACCTTTGAATTGATCTTTGAAATAGAATAATGTAAATACGCAATGGCATGCATAGATCATGCA